CACCCACCCCCCAAAAAAATTACCTTCAGAATATCTTGCAATTGCCGAAGGACAGTATGGACCTCCTCTCGTAAAAGCCACTTGAACTCTTCTTCCTGTATTCAAAGGAAATATTTATATATGTATAAATGTACTGTATACAACTCTTACATAAAATATATGTATAAATTACAATATATACATTAAGCGATATATTCATATATTGTAAGTATATACATACTTACACACAAGCTTTATGCGTGTATATATGCATGAATTCTCTCTCTCTCACACACACACACACACATCTCAAGATTGCTGTTCCCCCTAATGGTAGCAGGGAAACAATCATCCTGACTAAGGCCATCGAAGTTAGGTTAGGCTTAACCTTACGTGCCCCCCACCCACCGTGCCCCCAGATGGCCCTTTGCTTGCTACGGGGAGCATCTCCCAATTCTGCCATCTTGGATCCCGTCTTTAACCCTTCCAGCTCCAGCCATCTTCCTTGGCTCTTTCGACAGAAAGATCTGGAGGACTTTGAGCGACCAAGAGGTCTACAGGAGAGGAGACCCATCTTCAGATGACCTGGAGCCAAGCGGTTGGGGCTTTAAATTAAAAACAGCACTCTGAAACGGGTCTGAAAGTCGGCTGAGAGCAACGGTGGGCGGCCAAGGTTCTGGCACAATGGGATCTTATCAAGGCTTCGCTTCCGTCTGCTCCTTCAACTCACATGATCGCAAAAACGAGAAAGCAAATGTGACTCTGGTTAAACTCTCTGGGGTCATTTCGGTTTCTGGAGATCACACACCCTTTTTTTAACGGTCGTACCACGCGCCGGCAGAGCATCTATCTAACCTTATTGCACATTTCTTCACTACGCTTTTATGCCTAGATCCACAGAGCCTCCATTCTTGTCCTCGGGGAAAAGTGGATAGACAACACACACCCTCTCTTCCCTCAGCATGGAAGCGGATCGCACAAATCCTTCACTGAACACACAATATCCCCTTTGTTTATAGGCAGCAGGTACAAAGCAGTTCTGCCGTGCAAGAGCTAGGTCTCCACTCCTTAAATCTCCGCACAGCGAAGAAAGACTGGTTTGACCACAAAGCAAGCAAGAAAAGGACACAGTACAATCCACGGGTTATATTTCCTGAGCTAAACTGTGACACAATTCTTTGGAAAAGGGATCTATACCATCCTTAACTCCCAGAGCTTCCGGCAGTCAATCAGGCGTGACTTAAATCCAGCGCCCAACCTCATTCTTCCCCAGCGTAACCCCTTCTCGTCCCCCTTTATTCCAGAAATCCTGTTCCGCGCTCTGACAAAACAGATCTTCCTAAATTCTGCAATAAAAAAAGAAGTTTCCGCGATGGTATTTCTGGTTGCAGAAACCGGTGGAGTCAGCCCCAAAAAATCTGAGGAAGAGCAGATTCGAAGAGGAACGTCAAACCTAAGGTGTGCTAGCAAAAAAAACCCAAACCCTCTTCTGTTTACATGGGAGTAAATCTAAAACAGCGCTATGCCGTTCGACTAAACAGCGTGATGTGATCAGACCCCTGAAAGGCAACCGGACAACACGAGATGTTCTTGAGGCTCCCTTGGATGTTCTTTTCCTTTTTATTGAGGAACACAAACCGGTTTGCTCAGAGGTCCATAATCCCTGCCAAACTCACCTCTAGTTTAATAACTAACTTGTCCCTACTCCTACACGAGGCAACCAAACGTACAGGGCAAGGACCGAATCTGAACGCCCAGCATCTTCTGCTCTTTCCCATTAGAAGCGACCGATGACTGGTCACTGGGGCCCAACGATTCCAGTCTAGCAGCCGCTCTGCAATGCTGAGCGAAACTCTCCACAAATATCTGTCCAATACAGATATGTAAAATTTCTGGAAATTTCCATTTTTTCCCCCCAGGAAAAAGACAGGAGAAGAAACATGTCGTCGTCCCCCCGCAGAAAAAATGGACATTTCTGGAAAACTTACATATCTGTAGAGAGAACTTAAATACGTAAAGTCTCAGAAGCCTTTCATGAAGCTCTCATGTCATATTGTTTGAATACTGTATCGCAGACATATTCTTTATCATTGTAAAAGAACGTATTCCACACTCCATTTTTTTTTCCTTTTTCCGGGGAGGGGGTTGGGGAAGAAAAATGGCTTTGGAAATAAATAAATAAATAAAACACACCTTTCCCCCCATTTCTCCCAGGTTCCCCCCCCCAACCCTTCCCATCTCTGGTCTGAAACCAAGAGTGCGTTGGTTACACGCCTCCCGGCCGAGGGTGCGCACACAGATTTCTTGCGAAAGGTTTCCGATCACAGCTTTGTGAGAACTCTACGTCAAGAGCCCAAAGGCCTCCAGAATCAGCATCCTCCAGCAGAGGCGAATCTCTTCGTTACCAAGAAGCTCGTTAAAGGGAAGCAAGAGGGATCAAGAGCATGGCTCCCCCCATCCCATCCTCTCAAAGACACTGCAGGCCCGACCAACTCCGTACAGAGCGGTTGCGTCCGGTGGTTGCAAGAAGCAGACCCCGGGGCATTTCAACGATGTCCGCGCAGAGGCATCCGTGCCAAAGGAAGCCGGAAGAAATGCGGGATCGAGTTTCATTAAAAGAGGCGTATTCGAAGGATCTATGCTCAAGATGCTGGAAAAACGGTAAAGACAAAAACAAGGAGCTGCTCAGAATCAGAAGAAGTCTAAAACTTCTATGGTAAAGGTTCCCCTTGACATTTAGTCCAGTTGGGTCCGACTCTCGGGTGCGGTGCTCATCCCCGTCTCCAAGCCGTAGAGCCAGCGTTTGTCCAAAGGCAGTTTCCGTGGTCATGTGGCCAGCGCGACTAGACACGGAACACCGTGACCTCCCCACTGAGGTGGTCCCTATTTATCTATTCGCATTTTTACATGCTTTCAAACTGCTAGGTTGACAGGAGCCGGGCCAAGCGATGGGCGCTTCCTCTGTTGCATGGATTCGATCTTACGACTGTTGGTCTTCTGACCCTGCAGCACAGAGGTTTCTGCGGTTTAACCCGTAGTGCCACCACGTAAAACTTCTACTGAGGCATAAATGTCCAGGACTTGGGGGAATCTCCCCCCGGGCAGGTTAGATATGGGGGGAAAAGGGAGATCTTTTAAGCAGCTCCCTGCAATGATGGGTGGGCACTTAGGAAGATCCATGTGCTTACCCAGTGCTTATAAGCTAATCTCCCCCCCCCCACAACATGCTTTAGGAATGATTGAGACCCCCCACCTTAGAAACCTGGACTCTTACAGACGAAATCCACAATCAAAAATGCTTCCAACCCAGCTCCTCTCACTAGTAATCGCACGAGCGGCAGAGGAAAAATCTGCAAGGTTTAGGGGTCCCAGAAGCTGGCAGTTTGAAGAGGGCCGGCAGCATCTCATCTAGCGCTCGTAACCGTCGTTACAAGCCCCGGAGAAGCAGGATTAGCTGCTTAGCCACCCCAGGACTACTGCAAACATACATCTGGGTCCAACAGCAGTCTTTTCGGCAACAGCATTGCAAGGCACTTAGGAAATCACGGGGGAAACGAAGATAACAGCGAGGGCAGCCATTTGCTGCACAGAATCAATGACATTTCAGCAGGCTCGAAACAGCGAAAGGCTTGTCAAATCCACTTTTTTAAATTTACGAGAGTCTGTGATGCATCAACCGGCGACAGAAGGGAGAAGACATATGGGTCCTTTCAAGGAGAAAAGTGAGGTTAAAAATATATTACATTAATAAATACATATTGAATCTAGCAACTGAATCCCAGAAGGGAATGGAGTGGCAGTTTTTAAAATCTATACAGCCGTCCTGATTACCTGATCTTCTTCATTAGAGGCACTAAGGTAGGGAATTTTATCTTTAGCTCCTGTTGTGAAATAATTAGGAGTCTGAAATTCCTCCGGCAGGTCACCAAGGGATCCGGCAGTTGATCCAGACCTGTGCTAGGATATGCCCGGGATTTATGGAGAAAGGCCTAAAAGCCAAAGGTTTCTAAGATGGAAGAACGAAGAAAGAGGCTGTCTGACTAATAAAGGATTAAAACTAATTGCCGAGGAGAGTTAAACCGATGCCTCCTCCTAAGCTGAAGGAGTCGATCTTTAAAGAGATGGCACGGAGGACGACGGGCAGAATCGCGGGCCACTCGTTTAGCAAAAGCCTCCGGCTGGCTGGCTGGCCCGTTGCAAGAAGCAGCACAAGGGAGGGCAAAGGAGAGCGTTCATTTATTCCAATTTAAAAGCTCATGCTTGATGCTTCCGCCCCTTCCTGCCTTTGGGGTGCACCCACCGACTGAGCTGTCCCGGCAGGGCCGGTTACGCCGGAGGGTCTTCTGGGGGCTCTGCAGCCACGGAAAAGGCCTTTGTTTTAAGAAAGCAGCGCTGGAAAATGCTGGGAACAGGAAAATGGGACCTCCCAGGTCTCCCTTGATGATGGGATGAAGACTGGATGCGAGGAGGCACGGGTGGGATGATGATCTTCAGCAGCGTGCATTCCGGTCGCGACTCTGTCCCAAGGATCTCCGGGCGGGCGCGCCTCTCTTTGCCAAGGCTGGAAGGAAGCCGAGGCGACGGGTCGAGCACAGCTGACAGCCGAGGGGTCGGTGAGAATCCAGGTTTTTCTCCAGCCCCAAGGGCGACCGGTGGGGGGGGCAGAGAAAGGGGGAATCCTGGCCCAAGTTCCCCCATTCGACCCGCAATGGCCCTTAAGTCCCCCCCAGCCCCTTCTGTCCCATGTGATCCTCCCCCCGGGGGGGCCACACTTCATGCCCCCTGGAAGCGGGGGGGGGGAGAGCTGCGGTCCTTGAACACCGATGTGCCAAGCCAACCTGGGCCACAAGACTCCTGGTTCAGGCACAATCAGCCCCACCCCAGGTGATGAAGGACAGCAACAGCCCTAAAGGAAGGTGCCCGCAGCCCCCAGGGATGGGTGCCAAGCCCCCCGCGGATGCCGGAAAACGCGGATAACAGCGAAAGCCGCACGCGGCACGGCCTCTGGCTCCCTCTAGTGCCCGGTTCTGGGAACGTACTCTTTCAAGAGCTAGCATTTTTTTAAAAACAAGTCAGACCGCCGATACGTGAACAGCGGATACCGATGCCCGCGGAAAAAGGGAATACTGCCGTACAGAGCGGGAGAAAGACGGGGTCATGACGTCACGCGCCGGGTCCACCCCCCCGGTCGAAATAGAAACGGGAGAGGAGCCCCTCCGTCGCCATAGCAACCTGGACTCCTCCTCCCCCCCCCGGCCGGCCAGCCCCCCTTACCAGGACGGCCCGCTCGGCCCCGCTCGCCAGCGCCGCCATTCTCCTCCTCCTCTTCACCGCCGCCTCTCCGGCCGCTTCTTCGCCTCAAGGATGCGGCGGCGGGACTTTCGGGGGCTGGGAAGCGCGGGCCCCGCCCCGGGCCCGACCCTCATTGGGCGGCCTCCGGAGTGGCGAGAGCGCTCATTGGCCACGAGGCCCTCGCGGTCCCTGTGGCTCCGCCCTCCGGGCCTTCGGGAGGAGCCTAGAGGTAAGGAGAAGCGCGAGGGGGTGGGGGGGAAGAAGGTGAGACGCCACCGGGATCCGTTCGGCAGCTCCCGGCCTGAGGAACGGAGAGGTTTGTTCCCTCTGCCCTGGTTCCGCTCAAGGGAGAGAGAGGCCGGGCTCAACCCTCGAGCTGGGAAGGCCGAGAGCGGCGCGCGGCGGCATCTGACCTGGGGGGTGGGGTGTCAAGATGGCTTTTCCAAACAGTACCGGAAGCCATGAGTAAATGATGGTCTTGTCCTTACCTCTTGGATGCCTTTCTCGCCCTTTTCCCCCAGATTCCTACCCGGCAACCGGAACGCAGGGGGCAGCGGATTGGTCAGGAATGTTGTCTCTCTCCCCCCCCCGCCCATGATTGGGTCAGCGGCTCGTGACACCCCCGAGAGACTCAAGAGCCAGGGATGGCATCGCGCTGGAAGCAACGGCTACTCCGGTGCTCATGCGACCCCTGGTGCTTTCCAGCCTGCGCGGAATCCTTTAAAAGAAAAGGCAGAGCAAAGGATCGGCCAGTCCGGGGGGGGGTTGAGGCTGCCCGGCCTCTGGAGGTCGTGGGGAAGACGTCGGCCCTTGCAATGGGCTGGAAAACACACACACACACACACCCCTTCCACTGGCGAGCGGTGGGGGACCAAGGATGATGATGCCCTGGGTGCCCATCATCCCACATATAATACATGCGTCCAACCGGCGGCAAACCTTCCAAAACGCAACGCTTTGTCGAGGTCGCTTTCCCTAGGAAGCCTTGCTTCTGATGTCCTTTCATCATCATCATCCTAATCACCTTAGAACGGAATTGAGGGAACCCTCTTATCTGGGGCTTGGGAGACATGGATTGGAAATGCTGCCATCCATGATGCCCTCCGTGCTTCGAAAACAAATACGCAAGAGCAGCTGGATCCGGCACGGAAGCCATTCCAGAGATGGGCAAAGAGGAGCTAGCATCAGAGGCGCTCGTTAGTTAGGATGATGATGATGATGGCTGGAGGGTGGGAGAAAAGTTGGGAACTGGCATCCGAGGCGCTCGTTAGGATGATGAGGATGATGGCTGGAGGGTGGGAGAAAAGTTGCATGATGAGCTGTAATGAACCATTAAGGAACAAACAGTCTCGATGCCACAGTGCTAGATGGGGGGAGCCCTGGGAAAAGAATGGCTGGTCCTTGACATCAGTAGTTTAAAAACTTTCGAAGATGAGCTATCTTGAGTGAGAAAACAATTGTGCACGTTTTAAAAAAATGTTTTAAGGATTGGAAGTTACTGGGAATGGCGTGGGCCTTCATGAAATACTTCTCAAAATGCACATCTCTTTTAAGTTTCCAAAGGATACTTTGGAACTACCTGATCTTTACTGCCCTGTTTTTATTTTCCTGTCTTTATTTTCTTCATTTGAGTTTTAATCTTCCCATCCTGAACGATATTGTTGTTGTTTAGATTGTTTTCCTGCTATTTTATTGTAGACGTCTAAATGGGCAGGATAGAAACTGAATAAACAAACAAACAAACAAACCCCTAACCTCAAGCAGCAATTCCTTCCTTGCTGGGTGCGAGATTAAATGCCCCCCCCCCCAGGAGTCTGTGTTTTCTTTTTATAAGCACTTGCCTCATCTTTCTCCAAAGAAACACGGAAAGTCTACCATGACTCCGCCACCATCCGCGTGTTTTCACAGCCAAATTATTCAGTAAGAGTCGATAACAGAGAAGGGGGGAAGCTGATGAAGCGCCTCCAGATGTTGGGATACCAACTGCATCAACCCACCCATCCATCCACGTCTACTAGGTCAGCATCGGAGGGGAGTTCGTTGTCCTTTGCAAACCCTATTCTACCATGTTCCCCCTAAAATAAGTCAGGGTCTTATATTAATTTTTGCTCCCCCCCAAAAAAATACATTAGGGCTTATTTTCAGGGGATGTTCTATTTCACAGTCCAGTCATCATCATCTGGCTGCTGCACAAGGGGGGAGAGCGGGGTTTCACTTCACTGGGACTTATTTTTGGGGCAGGGCTCATATTGTGAGCATCCTCAAAAATCCTACTAGGGCTTATTTTCGGGTAAACAGGTACTGTAGCAGCTTTTCCCACTGGGTATTCTCTCTTTTTAATTAGTAGATATATTTTGCATGATACCTGATGCTGTCACTTACCTTAACTTCCCTGCTACTTAAAATATCTCCCCCATCCCCTCCAAGCTGTTGACCAAGATAACATCACCTTTAAAAAAGGGGGTTCCCGTTTCAGCAGGGATGGTCTCTGTATGATTTCTCTTTCTACCGCTGTATGGATCATACTGAGAACAGGAGGAAGGATGTACAAGGACTGCCCATTTAATGCCCAAACAAATGGCCGTGGGATATTTTAGAAAGGGACGAGTAACATTGTGTTACCAAGAAAGGTTTTATTTCCTTTTGCCAGTAGTTTTGTTAATTGCACAAGGAAAAAAAATTCATTTCTTCTGTTTTTTTTTCCGTTTAATCATCACCACACATCCTATTCTGAATAACAAACGTTAATTAAAAACAAGGCAAAAATAAAAATTAAAAAAAAATTCACAACCTTAATTACCTACAGATCAGTCATCAAATGGGAGGGAATTAAAAGGAAACTGCTTATTTTCTTACAAGCTTTCCACAAGTGTCACATTTTCTCTTTAAAAAGAAGGAACCAAAAAAAAAAAGAGAGCAATGGCTGAAACAGAAATCCCCATTAAAAAGGAACTTTACAGTATTGTCAACAATATTAAGACAACAATGACTAAGCCAGTTTCATCATCATCTCTTGTAACCCCATCCTTCCCCTTCCCAACCACCAACAACTGGAATTTGAAAAGAACCATATAAGGATTTTGAATGACAACAGGCTCCTGAATCTGAGGGACTGCACAGCGTGGAACAGTTAAGTCTTGGGTACTCTTTAAGAAAAGTGCACCTCTGATTCATGAAAGCTCTTGCCCTAAGAAAATTCTTAAGGCACCACACATTCCTCCTTAAATGGCATCCAAGGCAGTTCAGGAACTGCCTCATCTTAGCGCAAAGTCTTCCTTGGTGTCCCAGTCCCTGGAAAGTCCTATAGGAAGGACTGCAATATTTTGCAGATCTTCGTACACCTTGTCCAAAAAAACCCCACCGGAGAGGCTATGCGTGGAAGACGTTCCAGATCTCTCTTACTCTCCCTTCAGACTGGCTGTTTTGTGTGTGGTTTTGTTCTGTTTTGAGTTGAAGGCAGAAAAAAAACAAAATGATCTGGGTTCTACTGTTTCTTTTCAAACATTTTACAACTTCTATGGACAGTTCACACAGGTTAGGAAACCCTTTATCTTTCTCTAATCGGCTGCGTAGGTTCTCAAGATCTTTAGCAAAACCCCTTGGGGTTTCTAAAGAAGAGCGCCCTTCCAGAAACACCAGCGATTGCATCAAAACCCATCTGGGGGCACAGATCCATATATCCGCAACCATGTGTTCGTTTTTAGAAACAAGGTCATCCGTTGGGAGCGCAGCCCGGAGCCCGGCAGAAGCTGCAGGCCTCATCCACGTGATATGATTATTATAAAACTGAAGTTGACAGGGAGAGTCCACATATACTGGGACTCCGACATTTGGAGAGGCAGCTACACCTGTAAATGAGAGGGGTGTAGCAAAGGGGTGCCGCCCATCCACCCCACATAGGCTTTCTCGAATGAGCATGGAACTCTTTTCAACAGCTAATACTGATTGGGATTTTTAAAAAGAAAATATAGGAGACTCAAAAAAATTGCCTTGTCATCTCGTAAAGGGCGCAATTCTTTCTGTACGTGTGGTGCCACCTTCCCTCAACCCTTACATTCCATTTTGAAAGTCAAAAGGGCTGCCAGAGAGAATTAAAAATGGTACAGGAGACACATATGGTCTGGTTAGGAAAGTCATGTTGTCTTTTTGAACTCAAAAACGACACACCCACACACACCCACTCACGGACAGGCAGTTGATTCATGGGGATTATCTACATTTGGGAGGGGATGCCGTAAGACTGGCCGGCTGTGGGGGCACCAAAAAGTATTTCCCACTCAACTGGCAAGGTATTTCCAAAGTCTCGGGAACCTGGACACTCTGCTCTTGGGGGAGAGTTTGTCACTCCATCAACTGATTACAACATATTAAGTTCATAGTCTGGTGGCGCTGACATTTGACTGGTCACAAAAGTAGAGTTTGCAAGTCAGCGGTCAGGCGTTTACTGTGAAACACGCCCCCTCTCTGTCCTCCACCCTTACGGAAAGGAGAACCTGAAATCAAGATTTTCGGGAATCACAAGAGGCCCACGCTTGTCTTGCCCTACCACTATCCGCCGGCCCCAAAACAACCCAAATAACCTTAGCAAACTGTAACAGCCATGAGACAGCAGGTGTGAATGGGCACACTGCCTGACTTAGAAATCAAGGGACACATGAAGAGTTCTCTCTTCAAATATCTCAAATGGTCTTACAGCAATGCCCAGTATGGGTTAGCTTTTCTGGGAATGCAGACTCTCTGAATCCATCATCACGCCTGTGCTGGGGTTCCCTAAAAAGCTATCTCCATAGAAGGCGTAGACAGAGACAGCCCGTTTGTTTGGTTTTTTAAAAGAAATAATTCCACTGAGTCCTTGGGGGGGGGAGGGGATATTCCAATCATCCACAATAATTTTTGACTTTCCTCCATTTTTTTTTAAAAAAGGCCAGGTTCTTACCCCAATCAAGGTTCACAGGTTAAGCGGGACATTGTCCATCTTTCAACTGTCCTTCACGCACAAGGGAGGCCAACATATACATTACCCACAGCAAATAAGTGAAACAGCAGTTAGAAACAATCATAACGATAACAATAATAATAATAATAATGATAAACTTCGGGACACTCATAGAAATGAGAACTAGAACGCCAAGCAGTGGATATTTTTTGGCAAGAGTCGCCTGCCGCCAATTCCATTCCGGGACTCTCTGTGGATGGTCCAGATCCGTTGTCAGTAGGCCAGTGATCCATCCCTCCTCCTCCTCCTCCTCTCTACTCTCGCTGCTGCCAGAACAAGAAGGCTTGCTTTAGCAACCACCCTCGTGGCTGCAGCAACTGCCCGTGTAGCAGATCTCAAAAGAGTTTTTGTATTAAAAAACAAAACGAAACCAAGAGAAAGGGGTGCAAGGTGGAAGAGAAAGACAGACAGACAGAGATGGACTGGTCCAGAGTTAAAACCCAGTATTCATCATCATCATTAATAATCATAGGATTAACAAGAAAGGGGGGGGGTCAGCCTAGTGGATGTAGGCCCTGTACACAGCAGACATGTCATTGTCAGATTGGTCCAACGCTTTCGCTCGTTTGTAGACCTGAGGGAGAGACACAGCGAGAAAAAGGTCACTCACCGGCTGCTGGACAGGAACACTCATGACAACGTCTATAAACCTTTCCTTCCACAAAAGCCCTGTCCAGGCCAATAGCAAGTCCTCACCATGGCCACCAGTTGCCCGTGTGTGTGTGTGTGTGAGCTTGCAGAAGATGGGGGGGGGCAACTGCACCCTCTGTCTTGTATTCCCTAGCAACTGATCCATAGAGGCTTCCTACCTCTGATACTGGAAGAAGCACGTGGCCATTCTGACCTTCCAAGAGCAGAGACCTCCTTCGACAGCCTGAGCCTCCGTGTCTTTATCCAGTCCCCTCTTTTAAAGCTATTCAGGTTGCCAGAGTAAACTATTCTGCATCCACCAGTTAACGATGCCATGGGGTGCAGGTTATGACTTGCAACAGCTTTTGACTACAGCCTCTTCCTATCTAAGTCCCCACCTCGTCCCAGCAACCCTATGTTGCTTTTGGTCCGGAGAACTAAACTAACTCGGATTTTGCCACTTGCTTTGAAGCTTATCCAAAAGTCAGTTGCTTTCCATATCATGTCATAAGACTCACGCCACGTTCTAATTAATCCCTGCTCATCGGACCCTTGTGGAACTCCCAGCTACCCCATAAGCAGAAATAAGCCCACGCAGGACTTGCCTCATTGGCTGCAGCTGCCATCGGAGTTGGGTGGTTAACAGAATCGCCTAGTGCAATGGCTAATCTGAGATCCTTCTGGATGTATTTCAGGTAGAAGTCTGGTTTAAAGTTTCCTTGCAGGATGTCTTGGGGAGAAGAGAGAGGGAAAATAAACTTCAGCTATGTTTGGACCTTCTCTTCCCTTACAGATTTAAACCACTACTGACTCCACATGCAAACCTTCAAAGCCACTTTTATATTACCTTGAGGGAAACCAATGACTCGTCCAGCACAAGAGTGCATGTCTGAAGTGACCCTGACTCTCTAGACCTGAGGTTGTCAACCCCTGGGTCTGTGACCTGAGACAGACCGGGCAGTAGGGACAGACCTCCAGCCGCCACCACCACCCCCACAGCTACTTTGTGTGTGCTAGCACCAGTGTAAGCGCTCCCCCACCCCTTCACACATGTGCCCGAGAGTGTGCGCCCGCCTGCCGGTGCCGCAGGTTAACAGAATCGCCTAGTGCAATGGCTAATCTGAGATCCTTCTGGATGTATTTCAGGTAGAAGTCTGGTTTAAAGTTTCCTTGCAGGATGTCTTGGGGAGAAGAGAGAGGGAAAATAAACTTCAGCTATGTTTGGACCTTCTCTTCCCTGACAGATTTAAACCACTACTGACCCCACATGCAAACCTTCAAAGCCACTTTTACTGTATATTATCTTGAGGAAAACCAATGGCTGGTCCAGCACAAGAGTGCATGTCTGAAGTGACCCTGACTCTATAGACCTGAGGTTGTCAACCCCCGGGTCCGCGACCTGAGACAGACCGGGCGGCAGAGACAGACCTCCACCCACCCACCCCCCGCTAGCACCAGCGTAAGCGCTCCCCCACCCCTTCACACATGTGCCCGAGAACCTGTGCGAAAGGGTGGAGGAGCGCTCACACCAGCGCTGGCGAGTGTGCGCTCCCCCACCGCTTTGCACATGCACCCGAGAGTGTGCGCCCGCCTGCCGGTGCCCCAGCAAATTCACCTGACTCTGCCGAGGAAAAGGCGAGTTGCTGAGGTCTGGCAGCAAAGCCCTTAAAACCACTCTAAACTACTCTGCAGTTTCCTCCCCACCACACTGACTCAGAGACTGACTCGGTCTCTGCATCAGCGAAGAAAAAAAGGCAAGAGAACTTTACTTTGGCACTTCTGGTCCAGGAAGATGCTGGCAAGCTGTCCCTGATTGAGGATGTCCAGAAGGGTCTGCTGGGACTGGCCCGTCACTTGAGCCAGAGTCAGTCCTTCTGCAATGGTGGCCATGAAGCTTCCTTGGACCATGTTCACAATCAGCATCATTTTGGCAGCATTGCCCACCTCACCTGCGGGTGTGTGTTAGAGAAAGAGAGAGACACGAACAAGACAATCAGATGTAAAAAGGGGAAATACAGACCTACACCCAAGACCACCGGTTACTAAGCCCTTCTGACAAGCCGTTTTGCTTAGTTTGTAGTCAAGACTGCATGTGCTCCACAGAGCAGCAAGCTGCATGATGTCTGCTAGATAGTAGGGTTCTGGCTGGGTTTTATTTTTCTTTATGTTTATTGTTTTTCATTTCATTTTGGTATACCTGTTTTTATTTCTTTTGTAGCCACCGAGAGCAATGGCTTGCCACTGGATGGGCAGGATAGGATAGAGTTCAGCAAGTAAATAAGTAAATAAATAAGCCATCTACTCCCTTCACTTCCCACATGGGTTTCAAATAAAGAAGCAAGGCTGAGGCTATACCTCTAAACTGGGAAGCATTAAAACCAAAAGAGGCCAAGTGGATACACAATTTTCTGTTCTCTTGCCTAAGTTATGTAGAGAGCCCCTTCTCGTGAGCAGGAATTGCTACCTATTCCTATAAAGTAAAGTATCTGTGGGCTTAGGCGTGACCATTTTTGCTGGCAGTGACATTCATCATGATTCTGCCGAGTACTGAATAAGCTCCTGTTACCCAGGAAGAAAGAGGTCTTCCCCATCGCTTGGAAGCAGCTGCTGCAGTCCTCATACAAGCCCCTGTCTCCAGCAGCTAAGATCACCAGCATCCCATCGTTAGAGAGCTGTTGGTTCCCTGAGACGGGTGCTTCCAGGAAGCGACCACCTCTAGACACGATCACCTGAAAGAAGCAAGAGGGAAGAGGTCTCAATCATGTGTACATTGCGCTTCTGTCAGCTAAGAATGCAATACTGTGCAGTCACCTTGAAGGGGGAAAGGTATTCATTTCATTGCCTTTGTTAAATAAGATTCAGAAATTGAAGAGGAAAAAAATGAAAAAGAAGCAACCCAGATAAAATGGGGAAGGAAAACACAGACCGGGTCTGCTGAGGTTACCTGGGCCAATTCTGTGACGGTGTCTGCATCAACAGTGGACATGTCCACATAGCATTTTCCTGGGCGTATACCCTGGAGCACTCCACTAGGACCGAGCACCAGCTGTGGGAACAGAAGAGCGGGAAAGCAATAGGGTGTCTGCAAAGCAACCCTGATTCTCCCACGGCCAAAGGGGATGCGACTAACCTCCTCTGGTCAACCTCTCTGAAACACCCCATATTGAGGTGGCTTCTAAATTAATTGCTTCATACAAATGCAGCTCCTTGATCAAACGCAGAGATGGGCAATGTCCATAGGTGACTCATGGGAGACTTGGTTCTCCCACAAATCCGCCAGGGTCTGTGCTTTTCCCTGCAGGGGGGGGGGATGCCACCACTTGGCTTTGTGCTTCAGTCAGATCACACAGGGTGGGGGTGGGGGGGTCCTGCCTGGAAGTCTAATGAAACAAAGGCTCCCTGCAACAGCTTTGCTGCTACTGGCAAGCTGCTGAAATACAAGCACAGAGGCCGTGGCAAGGGCCGCAAAAGACAGAAGACGTGCATAAAGCCTGTTGCTTTGGCCATCCCTAAATTACTGGATAGCTTTAAGAGTGTCTCAGGTAATCCAGAAAGGTGGGGGCTTGAAATTCCCTACAGGGTGCAAAGGCTACTCCAACTGGGGAAACCACAGAAGGCTATCCAGGGATCAAGGCCAGGCTCTTGCAGTTCCCTTTTAATCCTCAGTCAAGAAAGCTAGAGGGGCTACAGCACTCTCTGCAAAGTGACAAAATGAACACCTCCCATGATTAGCTCCCATAGCCTTTGCTGTTCCCCAGGGAGATCATAAGCCGTATTTGCTCTCTGCATCAACACGATTAGCACTCTGACTAGTAAGTAAACAGTTATGCCAAAAGATCAGGTTAATTGTCTGCGAGGAATCCTATAACAACTTATGGGAAAGGCTTCTTACCAGAGACCTGCTCCTGGTCAAAACAGACAGCATTAGGCTAAGACGACAAACCGCCTGCCCTGCAGGAACAACGTCCTCAAAGGTCCTCTGGGGAGGAGTCTTACCACCTTCTGTGCTAATCAGGTTCACATCAACGCCACAGCCAAACGGCATGAAACTCAACCACTCACTCGTTTTCCCATGAATCAGTCACCTAGTATAATGGATTGTGCTTTTCCTGAGTGGTGAGTCTGGCCATGAGCTAGGCAGGATAGGAAAAACTTAAAAAACAAAAACATGTGGCTGTATCCAGGCCACTACCCGCCAACTCTCTTGAGATATTCCCAAACATCACAAGCTACCAGACAATGGCAGCTGTATGAGCTACAGAATTCTTGTCGTGATGAAGAGGCGACAACTGGATGTTCTGTTTTCAGACAAGGGGATTCAAACATGGGCTGCTTCTTCGGCCCTGGCCCTGATATGACTGTCCGTTACCTCCTCCCATTCTTCCTCTGAAGGCTGTGACTGAAAGCACATTTCATGGCTCTGGATTACTAGGTGAGAGAGAATAGGATGATTCTATGCTGTGGATTTCAGCACCGGCAGAGACCTGGACAAGATGCCCTGAGGGTTCCTTGAAACTCCCCTCTCCTAAGGATCTATACTGCACTCTCTAGCTCCATCTAATCCTCTCTCTAAGAGGGCTATACCAGGCGTTTCACAATCAAGTGTTTAAAAGGTGATTAATCAAATGGCTGTAACACTCTCTGAAAGAGAATTAACTGCTCAAAGGCAGGATGGGTGGGTGTCCCTCAATCACGATTGCATTTGCCCTTTGCTGTTCCAAGAAGCACAGAAGAGAAGAGGACTCCACTACCATACCTGAAAGTTTCACTTCACTAGCTTCTATCGTGGCATAAAGGAAAGTCCTGAAATATTTTATAAACCACAGTTCTAAAGATTTTCCTTCCCTTGCCTCTCATCCAAAGGAAACGGGGGGCCTAGAATCCCCTTGCTACTTATAGCATGTTTATGTTACAGGAGCGCCAGGGTATCCGGAAGAGATTTGCATAGTCTCTGGTTCCCTCTAAGGGGCCCATTCTAGTAATACACCTTGCAAACTCATATTTTGGGGTTTTTTAATGTAATCTTTTCAGGCAGCAGATAAGTGAAACCACTAGTAATGATCCCATGGACAGGGCAGTCCTACTTTATCTTCCTCCTCTTTGTTTTTGTTAATTTTTTTTACTAGAAAAAAACTGTAAGCAAATACAAAATTAGAAAAAGGGAATGTGAAAAAAAAGTAACTGATTCGTATCTGTAACTTTAAAGTGTCTATTAGACAAACAATATCAGCACTATGTAATATGAGCAAAACAAATTAATAAGTGTGCCCCCAAACCTTACAAATACTCTTTAACAGTAGTTCTCAACCTGGAGTCCCCCCCCAGATGTTCTCAGACTACAACTCCCAGAAATCCTAGCCAGTACAGTTATTGGTGAAAAGACTTCTGGGAGTTGTAGTTGAAGAACACCTGGAGACCCCAAGTTGGGGACCCAATGGTCTAGCAATATTTTCAGGACAGCCTTGTAAGGGAACATCCATTACTCTTTAAGTGTGGAATAGAATTTCTGCCTTTTCACCGCATACGACTTCAAACAGGGCCACCGGGGGCCCTTGGAGGAAACCCTTCATCCGCAATCCGTTTTGCTGGAGCAAAACCGTCTGGAACAGAGCAAGCCAAGTTGCATGGGGTGAGGGGGGGTGGGGGAGGCAAGAAAAAGAGTTAATCCTTACATCCTTGGCAGCCTTTGGATCAGAGACACAGGCGAAAGTGATGTCGCAGGTTGAGACCACTTCAGCGGGGGTTCTTCCCAGCCGTGCCCCCTCCTGGATGAACAAATCACACTGCAAAAGTCACAGACCCCCATGTAAGAAAGGGACAGTCAGAACACAGCTCTAACCCGGAGCCCTCAGTACCCAAAGATCAACAACTCGAGAGAAGACGGCCGCCTGGGATGCAGTAAAGTTGTGTCCGCACATGAACAAAGGCAAATAGCATCAGGTAATTCTGGAGGGACAGTTCTGCAACCTGGCCTGTAGGGTTCGTATTCAGAGATGTTCTATTGGGCTGGAATGGAGATACCTTCCTTTCCACTTCCTATACAGATGGGTGTCCTTCCATTTTGAGCAGAGGCTTCCACAGCATCGGATCAAGCCCACAGGCCCCCTGATAGGAGGTGACTTTGGTTTTTAAGTAGTCAAGGAAAGCAGTTGCTTCCAAAATCCAGCCAGCTCTCTGAAGAGAGAATCACCGCTCTCCCAATGTTGTGGGGAAAAACAACATGCTACTTTTTAGAGGTTAGTCGTAGATGGGAGCTTGAAACTGTTATTAGTCCTGTTATCCCCTTATGGATAGGAGAACTCCAGGACCAAGCGCCTGCTGTCACAGACTCGCTGAACAGCAGGGCCAACACAAAGCTGGGAAAACACAGGTAGACTATAAAGCTATTCTCCATGAACTTAGCAATGTAATAAGGACAACTCTCTGGAAATGCCATCATGGTGTTCCTTATCAAGAAAGTGGCAGCTGCTACTGCTGCTATGCCAGGAGATTCAGAGTGTCCATTCCTACCCTTTCCTTGCCCTCTTATTAAAACCTTCCCTCTTCCCAGAGCAAACCACAACTAGCTTCTTTCAAGGAGAGACGCCGAACCTTCCTTCCCACTAGACCCGTGGAAATCTACGGGCTGCCCATTTCTTTACAAAACCTTGGCACTGAAGTGATGAGGAGACAGCTGTTCCAGCGATCTGAAGGGAGAACGGCTGCCATCAGGCATAAAAATAGAACGTATTTGGAAGAAGAAGAAGATGAAGCGGAGAGAAGGCAAAGGTTGCCATAGCTACGGTGATCTGGTGCGAGGATCTAAGCTGGCACTCCCAAAGAAGCAACCGAGCTAAGACCTCCACGATTCAAGACAGTTCTTGCGAATGTTGGGAAAGTGACGCTTTGAGCCACTGCCTTTTCTCGTCCCAAAGTCCCTCATCCCGTCAAACCCACAACCCAGGCTTCACTTCAGCAACATGGAAGGGTATCAAAATTTCGTCTAAGCCAGAGACAAAGATGTGAAAGCTTCTCTCTTTTTGAGATATGTGGGGCGGGGCCTACCATGTTCAGAATTCCTCTGTTGGCATGACTATGCTAGCGAGAGAATTCGGGAAGCTATAATCCCAAAAAGCAACGGTTCGCATTTACGGTCAGGGAGGGGCAGAAGGCTGATTGAGATCAAATCAGAAGGCTGATTGAGAGACCCCTGTGGTTCTGTTGTTTTTTTAAAAAAAAAACCCTCCCAAAACAGGGGCGACACACAGATCAACCTTGCCTTATCCATCCAGAGAACAAACTCACCTTTTCTGCAGTCCGGTTCCAGACTGTGACAGTGTGACCCATTTTTAGCAAGTTGGACACGATGCCGCTCCCCATCAGGCCGAGGCCAAGGAACCCTATCCTAGGTAGGAGAGGTGGTGATTAGCGCGAGAAAACTCTCAAAGGAGCACGTGTGACACCGGATGGATGGTTTTCCTTTAGGACAGAGTCCCTCAAGCACTCCAGAGCGTAAGCTGAACGGATACACAAGAGCCGCCTGAGACGGCTACACGGAATTGTCAACTCAACATGAGCAGCAACGGTTCCCTTGGGCTTCAAGGAAGGTGCTTTCCTAGCCCCACCTGGAAAGTCCTGCTCTTCCCTGTCTACTAACCAGGGCTAACTCTACTCGGCTTCCAAGGTCAGGTGAGATGGGGGCGTGTTAATGACGGCTGAGACAAAAGCCACATGGGAGCAGTATGGTGTGTTGTCCATTTGAAAATGGAGGCTTTACTGATAAAGGCTCAATACCCTTGGGCGGGGAGGGGGAGATGCACATTTCAAGTCCAAACAGATTATCACTTTTGCTCAAAGCACTGCTTGCTAACATGTAATCGGACACCAGCAGGCCCTTCTCTCTGCTCCAAAAGATAAAACGGCCCTCCTCTTGGAACAACAGTTACAAGGAACCACCCCTCTAGGACGCCAACGTTAAAGAGAAATATGCAGGCAAAGCAGTCATGGGTGAAACCCAAGATATTTTCATACAAAGAGATTAGTGTAGCCGTGGAAAGTGCCTTGAGTTTGCATGTGAAAGATCAGAGTTCAGAACCAGCTGAAGCATGAGGAGACCCATGCAGCAAATCCCTCTTTCTGATCTTTTGCCTCGGGAGGTGGAAATGGGTCTTCTGGCATTCTGACTACTGCTGAGCGCAACAGGGAAGACTCCACATGCTTCTGTCACTGGTTCTAATTTGCACCACTGATCCGAGATAAAGAAATGAAGTGACGGTACTGCAGAAATTCTCCATCTATACCCGAAGAATGCATCGCACATATCAGCCGAGACTCAAGTACTTGTGGGTGAAAATAATGTCCGTTCCCCAAACCCCCCAATTTTGCAGCCATAACATTTCTTCCCAGCCCACATGTTGGAATTCGAATCTCAATTCCACAAGGCTGTGTATGGCTTCTGCAACCAGCCTCAGAGGCATTAGCTGGCTCAATTTAACAAAAGCAAGGACAATTGTGGTGCATAAAACAAATTTTCAGATCCATTCTGAGGTTTGTATGTTTACAGGCCAACCCCAAAGAGCATAGAACAAACACAACATTTCAAAAAACACCCTCTTTTCATCAGGCCAGATTTTAAATGTAAGCACCAAGAGAAGGGAAGAGAAAAAAAGAAGGCTATGTTGGGTCTTAAGTCTTTGGGTTCCACAAATGTTTCAGAGCGGCATGGAGGAGGGCAGGCTGCCGAAGGAAGACATGGATCTCACCAGGTGCTACCCTGGCCTTAAGCTTTCACCTGGGATAAAGTGAACTAGGTGTTCAAATGCATGTTGTCCATCACAGCCCAGTTGTGGGTATACAATTTCACTTGAGAGAACAGCTGGCATCCTGTAATGCAACTCACAGGCTAAAAAACCCAAACCAATCCTGTGTTTGTAAGTTCATCTCTGTCAAGGAAACCAGCCTTTTTACATTCCTGTTCAGTAACCATGCTTAGGGAGAGGAAAAGCCACAGCAACCTACTCCAAGGAAATGATGTATTGAAAAGATCCTGCACGGACGGATCAATGCAGGAGTGATAGGAGACTCCGAGATACCAGACGGAGCCGAGGCAAAATTGGGTGGGGAATGATGTATTGAAAAGATCCTGCACGGATGGATCAATGCAGGAGTGATAGGAGACTCTGAGATACCAGACGGAGCTGAGGCAAAATTGGGTGGGAGTTTCTCAAAAAAAAAAAAAAAAAAAAAGGTTCTTAACCAAGAAAAACCCACAACACATTTTAGCTTCCTGCCATTCGGCTCGCAGCGAAAGGGTGGGAACGAAAAGGCAACGGAGGGACAGGCTTGCGCCCGGGACGTATCCCGGTTGCCTTTGGCAGCTTTGAAGCTGCCCGGGAGAGAAAGGTTTACCTGAAAGCCTTCATGGTTACTTTCGTTTCCCTTCAGCTAGCCTGAAAAACTGACCCTCCTGGGATGACTGCCGCCACAAGCAGGCCAGAGCCCGCGCTGCGTCGGCGCAAGAGGGAAACGGCTTCCGAGGGCGAGACAGGAAGTGCAACGGTGGCTCCTGTCACTCTAGGAAGTGGGGGGAGGGGTGCACAGGAAGTGTTTGGAGACACATGGGCCACAGAAGGCTCTTCCTGGAGGGTGCACCCGTCCCACCGCTTCCCTTCCTGCGGGTGGCTTTGGAGTTAATTCGTGGTGAAAGAGACTCTCCATCCTGCGACTCGCTTTGGACAGCAAGGCCATTTGGGTGGGGAGATCTTCGCTCACAAACAGAAGGGGCAACACTGAGCAGATTCCTGGGGCAAAACCCAGGTGGTGACAAAAGGTTTCATTTTCCAAAAGGGATGCCGCAGGCCGGGGCAAACTCCCCTCCTCCGAACGCCCAGGAAGCCTCTTTCTGTTTTCATGGACCTTCGCTGGGCCCCCTTGTTTTTTTCCGAGGGCCGCAAGGGGTTATGCTCGTTTCTATGCGGCCGGTCGGCCTGGGAGGTGGACTAGGCTGAGAGATTGGATCAAAATAGAAAAACGGGTGCGGCCACTTAAGCATCAGTCGCTCTGGTCCAAAATGTGATCTAGAAGAACGAATGCCAGAGCTGCTCAAACAGAACCCAACTCCGCACACCCCCACATGGAGCGAGGTTATCCATCTGAGTCCCCGTCACTGGCTGCCTCTTGAGTTAAAGAACACAGAAGTCACCTCGTGAGATTACAAATCCCACAATCCTTTGCCAGCACAGCACGGACAATTCCCCCTGGGGATTCTGACAGTGACAGTCCCCGAAAAAAAATCCTTCCAAGTTGTGCTCCCAGAGTACCGAAAAGGCGGCCAGAGAGCAAAAAGCCAGAGAGACAAAGATTATTCAAAAGAGGCTCTTACTTCTTGTCTGTAGGAGTGATGCTGCCATTAATAGCTGTGCTGTCTGCGGCCTGGATGGAGGTGGAACCGGTTTCCTAGGGGAAGGAGAAAAGCCACGAGAGATCGTTTTACTTTGGAAAAAAACAGGCGGTGTCTCTGAGACATCAACAAAGGCAAGGGAAAGCAAAGACGGCTGTACCTCTTCACACACCTTCAGCTTCTTTGTGATGGCCTGATAGCAAACGGTCGGCTGCATGGAGAAGGAAAGAGAAAACGTCTGTTTTTAAATACAAACAGGAAGCCTGTTTGCTGCTCTACTAGGGTAAATAGAGGCATCTATCCGCACAGAGGTGGGTCGCTAGGAGCAGGCCACAGACCTTCTGTGTCAAGCTGGGGAAAAATTACTTCTTTGGAACTCTTACTCCCATGCTGGCTGGAGGATTCTGGGAGATGCAGTTCAGAGAAGGAACTTTTCCAAGCTTCTTATACGTTACGAGAACAAATGGTACTTCCTCTTACAAGAGCCATTCATCTCTAAACTCAACCCTCTCTTCAGCAGTGCATTCCTATATGAAATGATCGATGCATCAGTCAGGCACAAGAGCGTTGAGTTACTGAAGACAGGGATAGGCGTACATGGGTAAAACAAACAGCCGCTCCTCAACCCTGTTTCCCAAGGAGGAAAAAAAAAATCACCCAAGAGATAGGTGAATATAAGAATTTGCTCTTCTCCCCTTCCTCACGGTGCCTCGTGAATCTCAGAAACCGGAGAAAGCATAAGCATCTCTCTAACTTGTAGCCTCCTCCTCCTCCTCCTCCACAGATAATCCAAAATCATTATGGCCATGCTTCTGCGCCCCCCATGAAACATTTATGAAAGATGAGAAACTGAAATGGTGCAAGTAGCTGGCCTCCCCCCAATGCCAACACCTCGGCAGGCCAGATGACGCCTGGGGGGGAGTGGTCCTAAGGGTTCATGAAAAGAAGCACCAGGAAGACTTTAATTTCCTACTTTCTTTCCTCCATGGCCAGGGTTTAGCTAGCTGCAGAGAAGAAGGTAGCCTTAGCTATTAACTTTTAGGGAGCCCTGGCATCGCCATGCGAGAGCGCTTTGCCTCTCCCTCTCCTTACCAGAACAGGACGGGAGAAAAGAAACAATGGGCGTTCAGCCCACTCTTGCAGGGGATCCCCCAGAGCACAAGCCAAGATACAACCAAATTGGCCCCCCTCCTTTTCTCTCCTGCATGGGGCAGGAGGAGGGGCAATCTACGGTCACTTAGCAGACCCGGGGATTCCTTGGATTCCCCCCCCCCCGAAACCTCCAGAGCTACCAGAACAGGACGGGAGAAAAGAAACAATGGGCGTTCAGCCCACTCTTGCAGGGGATCCCCCAGAGCACAAGCCAAGATACAACCAAATTGGCCCCCCTCCTTTTCTCTCCTGCATGGGGCAGGAGGAGGGGCAATCTACGGTCACTTAGCAGACCCGGGGATTCCTTGGATTCCCCCCCCCCCGAAACCTCCAGAGCTGACAGGATTCAATTTCCTACTTTCTTTCCAGGGTGGGTGGGTGGTGCTTCTAGAAACTTTCTCGAGTCCCAGACGGGGTCTCCCTTGGCTCCCACATGCTCTGGCTGACACTAGGACAGGATATCTCCTCATTCTCTGACTGGAGGTAAGAGTGAGGAGATGTTTGTAGGGATAAAGAAATCCTGTTGTCCTCTCTCTGGAACTGGAAGGGGATCTCTACAGGATCAAAGGTGAGGGATTCACCGTCAGCTGGTGCTTCTAGAAACTGTCTTGAGTCCCAGACTGAGTCTCCCTTGGCTCCTACATGCCTTGGCTGACACTAGGACAGGATATCTCCTCTTTCTCTGACTGGAGATAAGAGTGAGGAGACGTTTGTAGGGATAAAGATATCCTGTCATCCTCTCTCTGGAACTGGAAGGGGATCTCTACTGCAAGGGGCTGGAGCTTACTGGAAAATACAGGTTTGTTACCTTTGGCAACCTGAATTACATCCGTGGTCCAGAGACAACCCCCCCCCCCATTTTATCTCATGGGCAGGGAATCTGAAGTCCCACAGATGCTTTGGCTTACAACTCCTTTCAGCCCCAACCAGCATGGCCCAAAGTAAGGGATCATGGGAGTTGTAGGCTAAAACGTTGGGTTTTTTTTTCTCCAAAAGTTCTCAGCCTCTGCTTTATAGGTATATTCCACTCGCTGCTGTATCTTATGGAAAACTAAGAATGACACAGAACCTCAGTTGTGGGAGAACTTGCCATTACGAATGTGAAGGTAAAATTCATCCGGAAAAAGAAGAGGCCACGCTAGATCAAAGCACCACCTAAACCTAGGGCTCACCTTCTCTGTTTGGCTAAGCAGGAAGTGATGGAAATGCGGGTCACCATCTTTCACAGGCTGTAATTGCAAAGAGGCAGACTGAGAAACCACATCAACCAAATTTCAACTCTCAAGAGCCTCCATACACATTACGAATTGGGTCACAACTTTTCAAGATCCGAGGATGTCTGGCTGAGATCAGGAATGGTCTCCCTGTCTACTACTACAGGGCATGTGAAAGGAAATACTATGAATTAAGAGATGAGAATTTCAAGAGTCCCAAGAGATACAGGCTGGGGAACTTGACTAATAAAGAACCAGGAAGAGAAAAGGTAATTTCCTGGACATACCCTATACCTAGAGGCCTGTTTGCTGAAAACTACCAACAGCACCATAGACTCCTTCCAGTTTCATATCTCCCTATAAGACACTTTCCAGTTTAAGAACAAGACCCACCACTAATTGACCGTTTCTAAGCTGCAATCGTAAAGACACGTATTAAGCAGCTAATCCCTCTGAATAAATTGGGATCTTCTGAGCGAACAGGCTTCTGGCTACTCTCTCTGATTGGGCCCTCCCCTTCTAAGAGCACTCCCGAGTCACAATGGAAATTAAAAATCTGAACAAAAAAGTTTCTGATCAAAATTAAATGACTATTTATTTCACAGAATTAACCTCTGGTTATTATCAATTACAGCTGCGGTTTCTTAAAAATAAATCAGGACCTGCTGGTAGATCCCCAGTTCTTCCACAACAGATCATGTCTGACAGCAACTGGCTCAACTAAATTGAATTTTTTTTCCCTTACAGTCAAGCACTGAAGAGGAATACCAGCAAAGCGGAGGGGAAACCTTGCGTGAAATAATTTGTGATTGTCGTTCTGGCTAAGAGATCCTGCCCTTGAGCTTGTGCTTGGAGGTACCTCAGTCTTTGTTATGTTACCCCAGGGCTCTAGAAAACCAGCCAAGCCCGAGGGAATCACTCAAAAGAGATACTTCTGGCTGCCTTTCTATTCCATTCCTAACCATGGTCCTATTTTGACTAATAATTTGTTTTAACAGGCTCCGTTACTCTTCTTTCTTTTTAAAAAAAATCTATCAATTATATAAGAAAACAGTTATCTAAGCATTTTGTATTAATAACCACTGAACAAAATGGCTTCATTTCCTCCCCTCATGCGCAATTCTGCCCGCCTTCCTGCCTCTAGCAAGGAGAGGATTAAAAAGAGAATCATTCAAACAAACAGTTTTTGTGCATTGTTGTTCTCTCTCCAGGGGGAAAAAAAAATCAAACAAGGTGTTAAATGCATCTTTGCATTTTGCAGATAATCCCTCTGCTTGTAGGTAAAACACATGGATCAGAGAAGCAGGAAGGAGATGCCCCTTCTTCCCCTACTGCAATCCTAAAAATGATCCTTTTTCTGAAGCCAGTGGTTACCTTGGGAGGAAATGCTCCATGGGTGACAAAGCAACAGAGCAAACCTAATTTCCCTCGGGAGGCAGCTCAACAGCTGAAGTGCTGCCAGAAAGAAAGCTGTCTTGTCTATTCAGCAACTGGGTCTCTCCAGGTGTTTGGGGCAATGCTATACAGAGCCTCTTCTTGACATATCAAATTCTAGGCAGGCATATATGAAGGAGGGGGCAGCCTTTTCAGAGAGACTGTCGCCAAGCTGTTGGGGGGCACCATAAACTGAGCTTGGAAGCAAATTAGAAGCCAGTGAAGTTGGTTCAAAACCCGTGACAGATGGTATCTAAAGCACACACCAGACAGTCTGGCTGCTGCATTTTGCACGAGCGAGACACCGCAGTCGTCTGACGGAGAGGTAATTAGGGCATGAATCACTGCACTGACATTGGCCTCACCTAGGAGAGGACACCAGCCAAGCCACTCAACCAAGGCACTCCTGGCCCCAGCAGCTACAACCGTGTCCAAGAGAACTGAGTGGAGAGTAATTCCTACACCCTCCTAAATCTAGCCCTGGAAGAGTGCTAAACTCTCCAAAAACGGGTTTTCAGATGCATGCAGGACCGCTGGTCAGAAGGGAGTTCGGCCACGCTATCAAGCATCTGCTGGCACTATATGGATTTCAGATTTTTGAGTTAATGCTAACTAAGTTGACCTTCCTGTCTGAATCCAACCCTGTCAAGATGTATTTTATGCAAGCAATCTTAAAAAGCGTTCTTAACCAACATGATGTATGAAAACGCTTTAAAGAAATAAGATGAGATTACTGTCATCTTGAGAGCACAAACCGGCCAAAAGGGACTTCCTGTACCCAGATATTTTATTTTAAACTGCCGCCTCAGAAATGGGTTCTGTGTAACTCAAAAACACACATACCACAGTGCGAACATTGACTTTGATGAGTGGATTTTTCTCTATATATAAATTTCTATTTATTTATTTTATTTTTGTCACTGCTGCTCTTTCTGATTCATAAGTTTACAAGTTTAATTTTTGTTTCTATGGCAGGAATGTTAACTATAAACACCCCCCCTCCAATTATATGCATTCAGAGCTGCGATACATTTATATCATACCAAAACGTGACTTTGTGTTTTGGTATGACATAATCTCTAAAGCGAGGGGCCCATCTGGGTTGTTCAGGGAGCACCTAGCTTGATTACAAAGGAGTTAAAGGAAAGGCCTCTGCCTTTGGGATATTAACAGCCCGATAAGAGACAAGCAGGGACTCCGGGAGGACTGCAATGATTGCAACTTTTGCTTCAGGCCAATGGACCCAAGGGCATGCATAGATGAACATGAGAGGATGCAAACATGAATTTGGGGGGCAGAAGCAGAGAGGAGAGGTGGGTGGAAGACAAACAGGGTACATCTGAAATTCACTAAGAGGCAAAGGAGCATGAAGGAAGTCAGGTTGAGAGAGCAAGAAAGTGGAAGGGCCCCCAACAGTTGGAAGAGTGGCGCTCATATGTTACTATTTTGGATTATGTCTCCCAGGATCCTTCCACGCCATGATAAAAAGAAAGAAAGGCATAATAAAAGAAAGAAAGAAAGAAAGAAAGAAAGAAAGAAAGAAAGAAAGAAAGAAAGAAAGAAAAGGACAGCTATCCCAAGTTCTGCAAATGTCCTTGATAAAGGAACTCTAGTATGTAATGGGCATGAGGCTACTACGGTCTATACCAACACCCAAGTACTTGGAAAAATATGGAGCTAAATCACCTCGCTTACACCTGGTGGCCATTTAAACCCGGCCACAGTGCCGGTCATCATTCTCTTCACCGTGCTCGATTCAGGGATTGTCAGGTCCTGTGGAGAAAGAAAAGGACAAATCAAGAAAAAGGTATGCTCTCAGAGTTCTCAAAGAGACATAGGTTCAGGAGCCTCTGGAAGGGTTCAACAGCAGTCATAAGAAGATGCTGGAAACATTAATTAACAACACCTTTTTCCTACCTTGCTTACATTTGTCGCTGGAAAAAAGCTACGTTCTTTTATACCAAACAGTGGAGCAAAAAGCTACGAAAATAACATTTAAAAAAAAAAGAAAAAAGAAAAAACACCTCCTTGGATGTGTGAAGAGCAAGTGTGATCTAAACGGCAATGGCCAGACCAACTGTAGAGAGGATTTCTCCATCTGTGGGAGAAAGCAAGCGGCAGAATATGGAACGTGCATTGCATCCTGAGTATGCAGAGAAGAGCGTGTGTATATGTTGCTTGTATACTGCCTAACTTAGTTGAAAAGCACTACCCTGGGAGGCTGACCGTACAAAGAAACATAGCTTAAAAAACAGAACCCTGCATGCAAACTAAAACTGACCAACAATCAAGACCTATCTAAACCTAAAAGATGGCAGGATCAGCCAACTCAAACATGTAAAATTTCAGGGGAGGATATCCTTAAAGGTTTCTTACTCCCTCATTACAGAACTCAACCACTACTCTCCATTTGAGCTTGCTCTTAATTATTCATATTCCTGCAATTAAAAGGATCCCAACACCACAGTCCCTCTGTCTCTTTCAGTGGCTCAGGAAAAAGAGTGAAGACGCTCAGAAGCCTGGCGCAAGAAATCTTTCTGGTTCTGGAGTCTTTAGCTGAATCTTACTGCATTTGCTCTGACCGCATCATGATGACTAGAACTATTTTTAAATATGAAGCAACAGCTAGAAATTTTCACTTTTGTGCTTGGCAGAGCACGATGACCGAGGGCAACATTCCCGAATTTGGGTTTTTAAAAAAATGGGTTGGGCTAAAACCACCATCACCCCACCAGCTGCTGACTCAAGATGTTAAGGCTGAAGTCCAAAAACATCTGAAAAACAACAGGCTGGTGAAGGCAGACTGGGGATTACAGGAGGTTATGCCGAGCCTCTGGAAGTTCTTCCAGTTTTACAAACAGCCTCTCAGCTAGGCGAAGTCCAGACATTTCCAATCCTACATCTTAGATCATCTGAAGTCTAGAAGTTGCTAAGCTGCCGCACTGGAATTTATTTTTGAGAAGGAATCTGTAAGACAAGCAGGGACATTTCCTCTTGCTTGGCTTCTCATCCCTGCAGAAGGCTTGTCTCGTATCTAACTCAACTAACCATCAGCAAGAAGTGCATCGGTATTTCTGGGTGTGTCGGGGACCAGTCTGGATTGCACTGGTAGAACTGGTTAGGGCAGAGAACTAGACCAGGCAGTCTTTTCTCCATTTCCAAACCTCTGGATCAGAAGAAATGGACAAGTTTTTTTTTGTTCCTTCCTGTTAGAACCATCACATGTGTATCATACAAAGAAGTTATAGAGTGAGGGTGCTTCTGTATTCTAACGAAATGCAAAAAGTTCAGAAAAAGTCATCTGATGCTTCTCTGCCAGCCCTAAACAATTCTAGGTATTTTTCTTAAAAATGGAGATGCATCTGACTGCATTTTGCTCCCTATAACGTGCAAGTCATGCATTTCAGAGTTATTCAGTTCTTATAGCATCTTTCCACTCCCTAGAAACTTTAACCATCCTCCTTCTGGAGACTGACTGTTACATAACATAAATACAAAGCATCCGGAAGAGAAAATTGAGAAAAACACACAGCCAAGTTCCAGAGTACAGTTTGTAGCAAAATAATAGCCCCAAGTCAGGCCTTGTAATATGTGAACGGCTCCAAGAGCTTCTGTGGAAAAATGCAGAATAGAAGAAATAAGATCCCAAAGCAGAGGATATGAAGGACTAATGCAACGGTTCCCAACTTTGTGTCCCCAGATGTTCTTAGACCAAAACTCTCAAAGGACTTCATCACCAGCTGTGCTGGCCAGGATATCTGGGAGTTGTTGTCCAAGAACATCTGTGGACCCAAAGTTAGGAAGCACTGGACTAATAAAAGAGAGACTTTTACATTTTACACTGTTCACACATAACTGGTTCTTCCAAGGCTACAGGGATAATTTAAGCAAGTACAGCTACACCTATGGCACCCACCTCAGCAGAAACAGCCAGCTTTAACTCATCAAGTATCCTGCAAAAGACTTGGTCTTTAAAAAGGAGGAACCAATTTACAGACTATTTGGAACCCTTGACAAACTACATCATCCCCTGTTGGAGGTTTTTCTCCAAGCTCAGTTAGCTGGGGTGCAAAACTGGGCTTTTTCAAATGTGACACACACACACACCAGTTACACAATGCTTTCCTCCAGGGAAGCTCTAAACACATTTCAACGTTGCCAGGTGATTAAACCGAGTTTCCACTATTTAATGGTAGCTTCATGACTGTTTTAAGCCTTCCTGTTTTGAAGTCTGAGGCGTTTGTGTGCGCGCGCGTTTTATGCATGCATGCTCTCTTGGGAAGTCTTTTTAAAGGCTGAATTTCACTTCAAACAGTAGACAGAATTAGTTCTTATTCTCTAGATCGCCTCCACCCTTTGTTACTGTCACAGCTACAGACACCTCAATGCTTGAAATCAGGCGACAGATGCAAATTTCTAATCCGGACATCTGGCCAGCGTCTTCTTACACCAAACTCCACCACACCATAAGGAGGCTACAGGATTCAGAGTTAGAAGGCTCTCGTTTTCAGGCCCAAAGACCTTTCAATGAGATGTTTCCCAAAAATCTTCGATACTTGCTCGCAATCCCAGTGTGGCTTCCGTGAGAATGACAATTCCAGGGCAATTTCAGTTGCCAAGACAACTCAAGTGCCGCAGCCAAAAATATGAACAGAAGGTCTCAGCCAGCAATTTGTTCTTTCAAAAGCAGGGCTGTCCTCCAAGGAAACTGGGCTTCTGAACATGACTCTCTGACATCCATATGTTGAAAAACTAGGAGATTTGCTTCAAGGTTCCACAGCAAGGAGGAGGCAGCCGTAACCACTGAATTTGGTAAAATAATCAACACACACATTACAAGAAGCACTAGTGGACAGCCTAAATGCTACTGAGAGTATGCATGAATAAACGCCTCCCGAACAAGATGCTTCCGGTCAGGAATTGGACAGGTGAGGAAAAGGCAATTGTCCAAGCGTAAAGGATACTATAATAATTCCCTGGGACACTACATTATTTCAAGGCAAACTCCGTTTTTACCTTGTTACTGCCCTGCAAGTTTCTCTTCCTTAGCTGGGAAATTCAGGCTTGAAGGAGGTTTGGACACTAAACAGGTGTAACCAAAACTCAAGTCTGGAGGAAGAGAATTACAAAATCCTGAACTCTGTTGTGAGCAGTTTTTGTATGCCCCCCCCCCAAATAGAAATGAGCACTAGTGAAGAACTATGGTATATTTTCTGATTATGGCCTAATTCCTAAAGATTGGATCCATAAGTGGGAGCGGAAAGTCAAAAGAACAGCAGAATGTAGGACTCATTTATGAATACCTTAGTTCTCTTGTAAAACTGAACAGTAAACTATTTGGATGCTAAGAATTGCAGTGGGAAGGACAATAGTCAAAATATGTCATTCTAGCTCTTTTGAAGAGGACAGAGGTGGACAGACGTTGGGAGTCAGTATCACTAAGTGACCAAGTGCAAGAAAGATCACAAAGGTGTCTGGTTGAAAGAAGGAGGGGAAAAAACCAAAAATCAATTAGCAAAAACAAAACAAACACATAGACACATCGTGAGAAAGCAGGATTCTCTGGAAAAGATAATAATGCTAGGAAAAGTGGAAGGCAGCAGGAAAAGTGGAAGATCATAAAAGAAGCCACAGGCCTGAGTTTATAAGAGCAGAGCAGGGCTGTTGAGGAAGAGGGCATTTGGGAGATTTGTTCATGGGGGTGCCTGTTAAGTCGAAGGCAACTTGACGGCAGATAACAACAGACACTGAAGTCTTCCGGCTGGTTCATCCACTTTGAAAAACATTTCTTCAGCATCCTCTAGATGGCAATTCATGCAACGTGCTCTCGTCCAGCCTAAGCGCTCTGAAAAACGAGAGAGTCGGAAAGCATTTTTCATCTAATTCAATGTACAAATGGGATGGAGATGATGCTACATGACTACCGAGAATGGAAATGTGCCGCCCCTTCCTTCGCAAAAGGGCGGCAAGGTGGAAGCACAGCATTACTCGTGGATTTTCCAGACAGAAACGGACAGAGGCCAGTCAAGGTCTGATTAAACGTCGCACTCCGCAAGAGCCCATTTCTACAACTTAACCATGGCTGTGAAAGAATGGGTCCGGACTCGCAAACAGCTAACACATGCAACTTTCCAAAGAGCACAACCATGAAGCCGTCCGGTCAGCCGTGAGGACCACATTCCGTCTGGGCAAGCTCACTGAGCATGGAGATGGGAGGACATGAGCCGCGAAAGACAAACCTTCTCATCTTTTGGGGGGCGCCCTCGCTTCCGGGGGCTCTGCTCGTAGGTTCTCTTCACTGGGCATTTCACCCCTCGCTCGGAGGAAACCGAAGACATCCTCTTTTTCGGCTTCCCTTCAGACAACCCAGCTTTGAGTTTTTCCTCTGCCAGGGCCTGCTTGCCCTTCTCCTCGCTGGAATTCCGCCGGTTCTTCTCTTCGGTGGAGTTATGAGAAGCCGCCTGAGAGATTACAGAACAGAAGGGATGAGGAAAAAGAAGGAGTAGGTGGCTGGCAGCGGCTTTATTTTCCCCACACTCCAAAAGAAAGAGAGAGAAAAGAAAAAAAAGGGGGGAGGGGGGTTTGAGGAGTCTGCCAGAAAGCTGGTGCACACCGAGCACCATGAATTCGGGTTGTAACAAGGTGTGAGTGAGAAGAACAGAAAAAAGAGACGCAAAAGAGAACGGCCTGTTCTACGTAAGGACCCACTTCGTTTTTCATCTAATATTCCCGCTCCAGAGTGTTGTGCAAACAAACCAAGGCTGTTGGAAGAGCAAACGAATTTTGTTCTCAATTCACAGAAAGTTAATCACTGCCATGACAAGCAACCATGAGCATTAACTGCTTTACAAATACAGACATCATCTGTATCACGATTTCCAAAACACAGTCCTAGAGACTCAGCCAGGTGCCCCTGCCTGGCAATGAGGGGGGAAAAGTCACATGGAAACTCTGTGGCCGATTTCTCACCTGGTCCTTCCCTTTGCCCTTCTTGAGGAATTCCTCCACAGCATCCACAGCTTGCTGGAACCTTTTGCCTTTGTTGATTTTGATCATCTCCTCTTTGTGAGCATGGTAAGGCTTCAGCTGCTCCACTTTAATCCAAGCACTAATAAAGAGAAAGGGCATTTTCCCGTCAAAAGCACATCAGTCTCATTTTTGGATGCCACTGGTGACCCTCACTGACTGGTTCAGTAGGTATAACTCCAATAACCTGGTTTTACCCCAGAATAAATGATGGTTATTACCATGGTGGGGGGTTCTGAGTCTTCCTTAGAGGTACCAGTTTGGCTCAATTAGGGTCATGGCTGACACAGTAATAGACGCATTAGCTATACCTCTCTCTCTGCAGGATTTATACTGTTTGGGAGCACACTCACAACTGCCTACATCTGCCAACTAATGACAAGCTACCACATTCCTGGAAAAAGATTAACTATGAAACTCTCTGTGTACACTTTTGTGGACTTGAGACTTTCTTTCTTAGAAGATGGAGCTGCTTTTCAGCTTGCAAGATCCCAAAGGCAATCATTGGTAACTACAAATTATTCTGTACAAAACAGATTCGACATATTAAATCTTTTCTCCACAAGCCTTCTAAGATTCCCCTGTGCTTTCCTGGTTCAAACTGGTACTGTTCTCTGAATTGATCGGATGTCAAGCCCAAAACGCGAGTGGATTTTTGGTGTTTAGTTCACCTCCTCAACCAGCTAGGATGTGTAAAAGCAGATTCCTGAAATGCATGGTCCCTAGTTGAACTAGGATGACAACTTTTATAAAAGATGGTGTTAGCTTTTATGCACTCAAAATACATTGATAAATGAGTACCATAAATGTAAATCATCTTTATAAGTATATATATGCTCACTCACTCTCTCTCTCGTAAAGATATATATAAATATATATAAAAAATACATTACTGCCTGAGCTTTGAGCTCCTGAGAGCACAATTTTCTTTCAGTACCACCATCCTCAGAGGCATGCTTGTGGGCTGTGTGCATGGAAGACATTTTTCTCAGGATCTGAAACTCCTTAACGTGGGAAGCTAATCTGGCCTCCTGCCTGTTGGTCTTTCTGTCAGCAGGTAAAGATTTTCTACCGTGCCAGGCTTTGGGTCTTCTTACTAGTCAAAAGCTTGACATTTCTTAGTGATGCACAGTTAAACTGCATTTTCAGTTTAATGACAGGACAGCCATAATGAAGTGTTTCCAACTACAGTGGTCTAAAACAAATGCAATGCCTATAAAGCATGTTCTGACAACTGGGATTTAGCCTGGAGGAAACTTTTTTCTTTTATCCTGGGACAGATTTAAGCTAAATAAAGCTGAAGCATTGTATCTCCACTGACTACGACTCCTTCAGCCACAAAGGAATGAATAAATGCAAAGGCTTAACTGCCCTTGGTTTCATTAGACTTGACATTTGAAGCTGACATCTGTCCCCAATAGATCCTCTGTTCAAATGAGGAGACTGCATTGGGATCCTGGAGATCTGATTAGCAACACTTGAAAGGTATATGTCACCTCCATTTTCAAGAAATGCCAGACTGTACCGAAGGGGAATTAAATCCGAATGACGAGAGTTCAAAACCATCTGGCTAAAGTGTCAGGCAGCCAAACATACCACTGCCATGGAGAAATATTTGTAACTGCTTGATCACAACCGTACATAAGCACTGGTCACAAGTTCTACACAAACGATCCTAAAGCTATATGGATCTGAGAGAGAAAAAGAACAAACTTTTTTTCCCCCCACCGCTCCAACAGTGAAAGAAAGTGAAAAGCTCTTCAGGAGAAATTTCAAAGACAAAACCAATGTTAATCTGTGTACCAAAAATTAAAAAAAAAAATCATTTTCTGTGCTAGCAACCATCTTTGCTGGGTCCACTTATTTATTATTTTAGATATAGGAGCCAGTAGTCTTTTTTTTTTGTAACTGTTCTTGTAGGTTTCCATTCTCCACAGCATGAATCAATTTTGAAATCCTCCCCCATATACTGCCATTCAGCCAGCTGCTTGTTCAGCTAAACACAATGGTAGCAATCTTCAGCACGAAAGTCTGGCTTTTAAACAAATGCCACTAAGACAGCAATGTCATATTCATGATACACATTTCAGCATCAACCCTATCTTGGCCTGGTTGGGCTGTAACCAGAAGCCAAAATCCTTTAGAATTCTGGTTTATCAGGAGCGAGCGAGTGCGCCACTACATTCCCTTCGGTCACACTGCTTTTCCTTGCCAACGGGAAGAGCTCAACAGACCAGGAAACTTCCATTTGTAGTCTGTTTAGCTGCTACAGCTTGGTAGCATCTGAAGCATAAGCCATAAATAAACCCTGGCTTATGATTCTGACTTATAAGAAGAGCAACAAGTGGGGGCCTCAGTTCAGACAGAACAATAACTCAATCTCCCCTCACCGCTGTTTTCCAGATGTTCTATGGTAACTGGGGATGACAGGTGTCACACCATTGACACTTACAGAGGACCAGGCTGGGGAGAAAGCTACATGAACCTCAAATGTTCCCCTCCACCCAGTTTGATCAGCGGCTTCCCCTGGCAAGAGGAACCAAAGGGGAGTGCCTGCTCATTCATTCTAAGGACTTCTGGCTTTCTGGTATGTCCAAACCCTGCCAATTATTAAGTTACGCCAATACAAAAAAATAAAATAAAATTAAAAAAAAACTGATACAGTGCTAAAATAGTCTATCCTCCAGAACTGAAAGTTAGCTATCATCTTAGCCTCTTCAGCCCCGATCGTAGAGACGATTTTGTTTTTCTATTACGTGATCAGTTAATATCCCTTTTGCTGGAAATTTAAAAACTGCAATGTGCTAGCACAACGGCCTCCAAATTAAAATAAATTTAAAAAACAAACAAACCTGAAGTTTAAAAAATAAATAAATTCCCCCCTTCCCAGGAAAAGAAGTCGGTACATACTGGTCTTCAGTCCCAAAAAACTTCACAAAGAAACACTTCTTTCCACGAGGTTTTTTCAGGTCCTTAGGTGGGTTAACAATCTGCCAACAAAAAAAATAAGCAACGCTTAAGAGACATGATAACCCGAATTTGCCACCATATTCAGTGTACTGCACTCGTTCCATGATCTTACTATACATTTTGACAAAAACTGTTGTAAGACAGGATTAGTATAAGGCCTGCAGAAGGCACCTTGCAATTGAAAAGCATATCTGCGCCAATAAAGGAAGCTTGCCCTCTTGAAATCGAGGTTTCTAGCTGTAAGACTACTTCTAGTGCCCACCCTTCCAAATCTTTCCCACATGCAAGCTGTGGCTTGTTGATACTACATCATATCCCACATTTACATATGGCAAAAATACCCCACTTTTAGATGCTTTCACGACTGAGTGGCTATTTGATTAGAAATCATGGACTATTAGATTTTACAGCCCTAGTTCATTAGGCACATGCTAAAAACCTCCATTCCTCTATTAGTCAGCAAGTAAGAAAGACTCCAACATTTCTGTATGTATATCAATATTTAAGCACTGTGCTGTTCAAAACAGGATTCTCAGCTATCATGCCAGTCCCCATAATATTGACTAAGCCTCGCTGGTAATCCTGTAAATAGTTTGGCAGGGTTAAGTACATTTCACAAAACCTAGCATTAGAATGGATTGCTAATATCCCCAGATAACACATTTACGTCAAGGAGAAATGCTGCAGAAGCACAATGGATGCACCAGCCTATTAAGAGGTAAATCCAGTCATTTATCATAGTTGTCAACTATTTCTTGAGTTTCTCCGAGAGTGGAAGCAAGCCCCCTGCGACGCCCAGTGATGGCACCACAGCAATATAATGAATGATAAAACACCCTAGCAAAAGATTTAAAAAGGGAAGTTCGGTTTATGGGATCCTTCTCAAGATCTATGTGCCAGAACCAATGGCATGGTTACAGAAACTATTTTGGTTTTTTTTTGTGTGTGTTTTATTAACACTGCAATGCTGTGACAGATCACAGCCTGAAAAAAAAATGGGTTGACAGAACTACTGAAGGGGAATCAAATCCAAACAATGACTTTTGATGTAGACACATCCATTTCTGGAGTAACGGCACCAAAGAATGTGGCTGTGTCACTTTGGAATCAGGAAGTGCAATGTACAGGAGAACTCCATGGCATGAAGAATAGAATGGTGACTCCACCTTATAGGGGTGGGATAACAGAATAATCACTGCAAACCCTGAACAGTTCACCTCCTCCCACACTACATTAATTTTGGAAGGGCAGGCCAAACAGATACATTTGCATCAGGATGGCACATCCTACCTAACACATGTGATTCTTATTCATGGCAGGATAAAATTATGGACCTGCTGGTGGATATGACTCGAGTCTGAAATTTAGCATTTACAGAACCAAGGTACCCTTAAAAACTGGCCTTATGCCCTCTTAGGTTCATTATAGCCATATGAACTCATTTTAACCAAGTTTTCTCTGATGTGTATTCCTATAGAATACTTACTTAGGGGTAGGTCCCATTAAACATGGCATGTTTTGCTTTTGCATAAACGTTCAAAGGGCCAGACTGCATATATCATTTTGAAGTCATGTCATGACTTATTTATGGAAGGGGAAAACCAGTTTTGCAGAGAGTAAGGTAATGATTAAGTAGCTGTCACTTCAAAACCCACCACAAATGTCTAGAAAAAAAATCTCTTCCTCTGCCTAAGAAGTCACAACACCATTGAAATGCACACGAAAATCTGCTTCAAAACACTAACCTTTCCTGGCCAAGGAGGGTATCTGCCCAGCTTCCCCCTGTGGGAAAAAAATCAAAAGTCAGTCAAAAACCACAGCAAATGTTCAACATCTTTCCCCTACGAATAATTACTTAAGAAAACCAATCAGTGAAAAGGGCCACGTATCTAGGATATGACATTATCATGACATTACCTGTAGGTTCCTGGGTTGCCACTAAATGTCATTACCGTGAATGGGGAGGAAGGCAAACAGCTGTGGCCTTGAGGAGAGGGACCCACGCATTGCTGTTCTCATGACCTAGCCACTCACAGCCCATTCGACAATGATTTTTTTCCACAATCATACCCATACTTAATCTTGACTGTGTAATATTTCAGTCAAGTTTACTAAGCTAACCTGAATGAGGAAAAATAGAAAAAGAAACAACTCCAGAATGCAAAAGTATTAGCTTAACAAGTCTCTCTCTTCATCCTACGACTCCTTGAAATGGCTGCAATGCAGACACAAGGGGACTGATATACCATGAGGTCATCGCAACAAAGGTCTGCCCTACCACCTCAATGGCCGGAATATCCAGGAGAAGTCCTGGGCTGGCACCAGCAGCAAACTTTACTATATTTTGTTGTTGTCTAGTCGTTAAGTCATGTCCGACTCTTCGTGGTCCCATGGACCAGAGCACGCCAGGCCCTCCTGTCTTCCACGGCCTCCCAGAGTTGGGTCAAAACTTTACTATATAGCTATTCTCAATTCAAATTGATGACCATCTTCTTAAACCAACAAATGCCTAATGACATATGAAGGATCCATTAACCACCACCACCACCTTAGAACTGCAGAACTGGAAAGGGCCCTGTGGATCACTTAAGTCCAGCCCCCATCAAGGAGGCACCGTGGGGAATTGAACTCCCAACCTTTGGTTCCACTATCAAGCATTAATTATTATTCTGCCCCAAGAGTAAATAACAGTTCCTTACTCCATCCTGAAGCCACCCTGGAATTACAGAATTACTCTTGATTTAGTCTGTTGTTGAATGCTCTACACATGTCTAACAGCTGCTACATACAATTCTGGGGATAAGCAACAAGGAGCAGGCATGGATATATCAAATACGTACATTAAAGAGCAATCCAAAAAACTAATAGCTCTTGATCTGAAACATCACTGTGATCTCATCTCATTTCCCCACAAATGCTAAATTAGTTCAGCCTGCTTCAGGATCACACCAATGTGAATCCAGTACTACAAGTACTAGAATTTAATGGTTTAACCTAATCCCAGCACTGTTAGAGAGGCAGGTCATGTTAACGAGGCAGTCTTCCTTCCCCCATCTCAAGAGAAACTCTGAGTTTCAAATGGTACTACCAGTGTCTTCCTAGGACTAGGATAGCAATTCCTTACATGTACTACTTTTCAGATTAAAATAGCATCTCCTGGGTAAACATAGTATCCCACAGTAGCTGCATGGCCCAACTTTTGAAGTCTGAGCCACATATGGTGTAAAGATCATCCTCATAATGGGAAGAATATCCACATCTGTTTACACAATTACATCAAAAAACAAAGGATTTGCTTCGAGTTTCAGACACTTGAAAACCACTGCACATGCCAGTATCAAACAAGTATTAATATGACAAGGGAGACAGACAAGCAATTTTTAAATGCAATGTAATCCCCCTCCATATATATATTTCCTAGCAAATGCACCTCTAGACATTCATGCCTTATCTTTCTTGTTTTGTTGCTACACTGCTTCCCCAAAGGAAAGTTGGGGAAAATGACAGATAAAACTATGACACCACCAGACCCCTTGCTTAATCGTCATGGATGGTTTTACAAGAAAACCACTGCCTCCACTGTAATCCTAGTTTACAACATTTGGAGTGTTTTCTACAATAAGGACTTGAACAGTGTCTAGCTGACAACTGTAGGCGAGCAATTTGTGGCTGAATCTTGACCCACCTCAAACAACTCTGGCAAGTTCATCTCCAGACATGGGAGAAATCAGTATTTCAATTTCTTGCTGCTTTCCACCATTTTCAAATTGCAGCACTAAGATTTTTGAGCGCTTCTAAAAATCTCAGAAAAAAAAGAGGTGCTGCCCTTCATTTCCCAAGTGTTTTGTGCAAGCGCCGAAAAACTTAATAGAGAACTAGAATCTGCTTCTTCTGTCCCCCCCTCTCCAGGAATGAAATGTAGGGAGATGGCTTTCATGTGCAGAGATCTGACAGGAATCAATTCATGAGCATTAAAAGCAATCTACCAAGTTTATTTGTAGACGGCTGGCATAACACTGCAAGATAATCTTTCTTTTCCTGCTGAAGTTGTCTGCTAGCGTTATATCAAAAGCTCAAAAAGCAAGGAACCGTCATGTCCCTGAAAGAGAGTCCCCAAATGGCCTCTTTCTTTGGGCAACATTTAGGAGAATTATATTTATTACTTTTTCTCTGCTTTAATAACACACATGGCTCTCTACCCCGCCTCTGGCCTCTTTACAGGACTAAATAAAATTCCTCACAAGAGCCCAAGACTCTAATATATCAGCTGCTGGAAGTCTGAAATCAAAATAAGTTTCACCGCAGATGACATTACAAAGTGGAAAACAATGGGAACGCCAAGAACCACTTCCCAGGCTATAGATACAAGCTGACATGCCACATTCACCTGTAACTATAAAGAAATGTAAAAATTATCCAAAACATGGTATCTTAGAAGCTGCTTCCAGGCCTCACCTCCCACTGTCCCTTCTTTGAGGAAGACTTGGGAGTTACACGACTCATTTCTTGAAAACACAAAATGCTAAGCGGCACTGTTGTTTCAAAGACGGATGCCCAATTTTCACACTAAATCTTAGAACTGCAGAGCTGGAAGGAACCCTATGGACCACTGAGTCCAGCCCCTTGTCAAGGAGACCCAGTGAGGAATTGCACTCCCAACCTAGATACCTAAACCAAATGAAAGGCTTTAGCTATTTCAAACATACCCACCACTTGATATGCATTCAGTGGGGATTTAAGGCATGATCCTTCCTCACAAATCTTCAAACTGTTTCCCACGAGAAGACGAGGGGCTTTCAAGCCACAATGGGATTTTCAAGCATATTGAAACTAGGCAAACCAAAGCTCCATATTTATATACAATAATTTATCAAACAAGGTTACATAAGTGAAGGTCATGCAGGATCATTTGGTGCCCTCTTTGCAGGGAAAATGCCTTGGTGAGAGAGACAGAGCCTATGAGCCTCATGTCACTTCTCACAGTTGTATGCTTCATAGAAACATTATCAGCAGCTCTACTGGATCAAATCCAAGACCTATTAGTATAGCATTTGATGTTCAGAACAGGTAAATAGTGAAGCACAGGTGAGATCACAGTACCTTCCAACTCATGTTCTCATTAAATGGTATCCAAAGATACAGTATACAGCTTCTGACATTTGGGATAGTATACCGCCATCATAAGACACAGATGGCTTTATCCCCACAAGTAGGCCTAGTTTCCTTCAAATACAATCCAAATGTTAGTAGTCATCCCTATACTCTCTGATAATAAGTTGGGTATAGAGGCCACCACCTTTTTAAAAAACGTATTCATAAGCTTAAAGAATGGGGGGGGGCACGGTTTGCTCCTTCTGTCAATTTCCAGAAAGCCTCAAGAAATCTCATTCTTCTGGTCCATTTGCTATCACACAAATCTTTCCACCAGGTTAAGCTCCTTCCAACCCACTTCAACCCAGCAACTAAAGCACAGTGGAGTACTAAAACATGCTCATTCATTTTGCTAAACATTTTTAGTGCCCTATTAGGGCATTTAAGTGTGCCATCTTTCTTTGCAGTGTGCTTTATAAGATGGGTGGTGCTTTAAATACTTGCTAGTTTCATAGTGGCAGGGATAGCCAAGTCATGTCACATAATGTTGTAGAACAGCTCCCACGAGGCTCTTAAGGCAGAACTGAATGTAACAGAAAGAATTGTTCTACCACTGCAGTTCTTGACAAAGACTAATTACAGAATGTTATTAGCTTTCTAAGAGAACTCGCACCCTAACCTGACAGTTCCTCAAGAGTAGTAAGTTGTTGTTTTTTCAGGAAAAGCACTGAAGAAATTAGCTTTTCTACCTACAGGCTGAACTCCAGTAACAAGTTACAACAAGAGTGAGCCCACTAATCAATGGAACTTACTAACAGACTCTAGTTGTGGCTTTCTACTGGATTTCACTTATACACTGCTTTTATTAGTGACCTACTTCAGAAAGCTTTTGACAAAAAAACTGTGAAGATTAGGGAATTGAGGTAACAAACCCTGCACATATTTATATAGAAGCAGATCCTACTAAACTCAATGGGTTTTACTTCAGAGAAAAAACTCAAAACATGGAGAAAGTAAAGAAAAGTCAATATTAGAGCAGGGTATGAAGACTACAATGCCTGCAGAATTACCTGACTTTGATGTGATGAGATCTAAATTATTTAGGATTTTCTACACCTTGATTCAAGCATTAACCAAAATGGACCACAATCAAGAAATCTAAAGGAAACTTGGAAGAATAGGGATGGAGAAGCTAGGAAAAATTCGTTGGTTTGAGGATGTGTAACTGCATACCAAATTATTTAAATTATCTTTCATACCACAAGACTCCAAATTACTTCATACAGATGCAGAAGTTGTGTACTGATGAAGATTGATAGAAAAACATTGATTCATTTGGAACGTTGTATTGGAAGAGAATCCTACAGCTACCTTGGACTGCTGAAAAGACAAATAAAAGGGTTCTAAATCAAACCTTGTCTGATCCCTCATTAGAAACCTGAATGACTAAACCATACTTTGGACACATCATGAGAAGGCAAAACTCACTGAAAAAGATAACAGTGCTAGGCAAAGCTGAACGCAGTAGGGGAAAAGGAAGAACTAACATGAGATGGACTCAGTAAAGGAGGAGAACACTTTCAGTTTGCAAGACCTGAGCAGGTCTATTAATGATAGGAGCTTTTGGGGATCATTAAATCACACGGTTACCAGAAGTGAACGTTACTTGACAGCATGGAGTACATACACAGAAATACACACCACTGCACCACATTACTTACTTGACATTAAGTCCACTTCAGCTGGAGACTCAGCATGTGGCTTTGACTAACTTGCTACTTCTGAACTTCAAGCTTCCCATAACAGAAACAGTCATGTTTCAAAAATAAACAAAACACTGCAATGTCTTGCCCCTGATATATAACAACTTTCCCTAGCTCTGCAGATCACAGTTCTTCTTTGTGTACTCACCAAATACATTTAAAAAAAGAACTCCTTAAAAGGGAAGTAAAATACAGTCAACATTACCTCCCAGAACCTCTCTTGCTAGGTCAGTGGGGTCCACAAAATGTCACTGGGGTTGGTCATCCCATTCTGTACTACTGGGAATATTTTATTTATTTATTAGATTTCTATCCCGCCCGCCCCTATAGACAAAGGGGGAGTGAACCCTCTACTTCAGGGAGGGTTCCATTAAACTTTATAAACTAAAATAATTCAAAACAATTCAAAACAATAATATTAGTAATGCTCAAGATGGGAAAAAAAAAATTATAATACTGATTATCTAAAAAAGCCTTATAATAAGTCCGCTGGTCCCTCTGAGTGCTACCTATACAAAGCTGCAGAAGATATCCATGCGTATATACCGTATTTGCTGGCGTATAAGACAACCCCAACATTTCCACTCAAAATATAGAGTTTGCAGCTATGTCTATCCCAACTGAAGTGCACCCGGCGTATAAGACGACCCCTCCACTTGGAGGCACGTTTTTCAGGGCAAAAAAGTAGTCTGATACGCCAGCAAATACAGTATAGGGTGAGAAATCTTTCCCAGCCCTGGGAGGCTGTCTTTGGCCCCTTTGGCCTGGGAAACGCAGGTTCCGCCCCTGAGCTTCGGCTGCTTACCTTTCTGTTTCTTCCGCAACAGTCCTGGAGATCTGAGAAACACTCAGCATTCAGACTGGTTTGGGATCCACTTGCCTAGCAATTCTTACAGCACCTCCGCCCCACAAAGGAGAAGGCGGCCAAGCACCGTATTTAGGGCTGACACAGAGCTGGACTAAGGCAAAAAACAGGGTTTGGGATGGGAGAGGGCAGCTAGCTTCACATCTGGCTCTTCTTTGCTACCAGGCCCGGGCTGCTTTCAAGAGCCAACCCCTCTTATTGCAGAAGGCGCCGAAATCCACTTCTCCTGAACATAAGAGCAAGCTGACATAAAAAAACAAAACCACACACTGGAAGAGGGTCTGTGAAGCGGGTTAGGAGCAAGGGGGGAGGGAAGGCTCTCTTGGCACCATTTCCCTCAGGAAAAAACCGAGGCAGATAAACCAAACGTGAGGGGAAAGTATTTCGCCCTTTCAAGTCGGCCGCCCTGGTGAAGAAAAGGCACCCCCATTTTCCACTCTCCTCCTTTCCCCCCCCTAAGAAAATTCAGATTTTGGTGAAGCCAAGGGAACAACCCCGTTCGCCCAAAGAATAGGCCGCACGTCCAGGCGAAGTTTCCCTCAACTTCCCTTCTCCGCTTCGCTCTCCTTAAACGAAGTCCTTCGTTCTCTCTCTCTCCCTCCCTCACACACACACCGAGGCCTCCGGGAGGCGAGGCTTGTTTCCT